AGTTGAATACGTTGGTTTGAATCAGCGCCTGAAATTGCTCTGTAGGAATCAAGTGGGTGTTGACAGTGGAGTACACACAGGTCATTCTGAATTTACACATTAGTTACAGATAACGTGCTGTGATTGCAAGATCTTACACTATTTTTGCCAATCAGTGCCAAATTTTAATCACAACCAAAAAATAGCAAACTGGTAATGAAGAAAAGTCATTATACTCTCTCATGGGATGTTTAAACTTTGTAATTCCACTTACCTTAGAGACACGATTTGTTATTGGAAACTATACTAATGACACAGCTTTTCTGCACATCAACACAACTTTATGAAAACATGTAAGAAAAGCCTATTGTGCTTTTTTCCAACACATTGCCTCCAAGTCTCTAGGGTCCTTTCATAGACCAAAGGCTGGAAACAACCAAAGGTTGTTTCACTGAATTGACTATGCATATTAGGAAACTTGATAGTTGCACATAAGGAAAATGTTAAAATCACTGGCAGCCGTAGGGTATTTATCACATCTTTTATAATAGCAAAAAGTGGGCACCATCCAGCTGTTGCTCCACAGTAAAACGGGACGGCAGATTTAATAAGTGAAACATGGTGTCGTACACATCAAAACAACAGGGCAGTAAAAATTAATTAACTTTATCTATAAATACTCACAGGGCTGGATCTCCAAGACTAATCTAGAACAACAGTGACAGCAATAACAATAAAAAGAACCCAGAAGAAGGCACACGGTAGTGCCCTATGCGTAAACTGAAAAGCAAGGGGACACAGAACACAGAACACTACTGTGTGAAGTCACCTACATGGATATAGCTTCTAAAGAAAAGCAATACATTAGAAATTACAAACTTTCAGTTGTAAAATAAATAAGTCATAGTGAAGCAATGTACAGCATGGTGATTACAGCTAATAATACCTTATTGTCTATTTAAAAGTTGCTAAGAAAGTAGACCTTAAAATTTTCATGACAAGAAAAATTATAACTATGTATGGTTGTGGATATTAACTAGTTATTGTGGGATTATTTCCTAATGTATACAAACACTGGGTCATATGCTCACATCTGAAACTGACACGGTGCTACACGTTGATTAAAACATAAAAAGGTGATACAAAGATTAGTAAAAAGGGGGGGCAGGGTAATCCTTAACTGGGGGAGTGAGAATTTAGAGGAGAGGGAGACATTAAAAGCATTGTAGTGTTTAATTGTGTACATTAGGGGGTTAGCCCACAAACGCTCTTTCAAGAAACATGAGTAGTATTTTAAAACGCATACATGAATTACTTAGTGACTTCATATCACATCAATGTGTAAGTATTTATGGAAAGTACCTGTTCTCATGTAGCTGTGCGCTGCACATTTGGAACATGCCCAATGCTCAAATATGAGAGAAGACTCTGTGTTTTTAGAAAGTTTTTTTTTTAACTTTTTAATACAAAATAACAAGCATTCCATTTTGCACCATTAAACAATACAGCAAGGATTTTTCTTCCTATCCCTTTTAGTGCTTCAAAATCTTTTACATTTTAAGTTACAGCTCCTGGATCAATTCTTTATTTAGTTTTGAAGGAATCAGTTCCTCTGCAGAGCTCTAAAATCCATCATAGGCATAAAGGTTTAAAAACCTGTCTGGGTCAGAGGTGCATCATATTTGGCAGGGGGGGAAAGCGACCAATCCAATGTTCTAATGCTCCTGGTGCCGCTCCACGCTCACAGTGGAGGCTTGCTTTAGGGGGCTTGAAAGATTAAACGCCCTGTGTGGGCTTACTGTCAACTCTTCGGGAGGATTTTATACTTTCTTGTTGGGCTATCAAGTTATCTCCACCATGACCCCAAACTTATTTTGGAAAGAAACAACCATAAAATGCGAAACAGGAATAATATCAAGGATGGCTTCCAGCCACGATTAGAAGGAAGTCTCACAACTGACAGGCCTAAGCTTCTGGTGGCCCAGACTCTTCACACAGATGCCTCAGAATGGACATTTGTTACCCTCAAGAGCTCCCCCTCCCTGGCTGCACGGATCCTGGACAGACTCGGTCAAAGTTCTACCAAACAGGCAAACCCGCCGTCTCCCACAGGTCTGGTGTTGTCTTGGTAAAGTTCACCACAAGGTAGTGAGTGGGTGTCCTCTCTTGCTCTGGTGTAGGTAACGGTGTCCTTGTGTGTACACAGTGGGCGACAGAACGCTTCCTGAACATTTAGGGCAACAGAGCAGCTGGGGATCTTGGGGAAATGCAGATTCTGGCTCAGGAAGTCAGGGGAGTTACGTCTGCACCTGTGACAGGCTTGAAAATGGTGCTGCCATGGGTGGCTCCCAGGCCACACCAGAGGACCTGGGCCACCCAGGGAGGAGAGTGACTGACAAAAAGAAGACCGCCCACATGCAACAAGGAAACTGTTACATAAGAACACCTGAAGGAAAGGTTCTAAGAGTTATTTGGCCTCCCGAAAATACTCTACAGTGAAGCACAAAAGGTTAGGGACAGAGAGCGAGGACCCTCAGAGTGGCCTACAGAGAGTCACCCGGAGAACCCACTCCCCGGGCGTCAGAGCCAGAGAAAGCAGATCTCTAGGGACAGAGACAGGCCCTAGCATTCTGGAAGCTTTCCAGGTGACTGCAGTGAAAACAAGTGCTAAATTAAAAATCAATCTTAGCAAATGCACATCAAAACAAGGCCCCATAGGCTTGCATTTTAGGCCATAATTTACTGCCTTTGTCGGGGGCACCTGCGTGGCACAGTAGGTTAAGCACCCTATTCTTGGTTTTGGCTCAGGTCATGATCTCAGGGTCATGAGATCGAGCCCATGTCGGGCTCTGCACTCAATGGGGAATCTGCTTGGGATCCTCTATCCCTCCCCCTCTGTCACTCCCACTCATGCTCTCTCTGTCAAATAAGTAAATAAGTCCTTAAGAAAAATTTACTGTCTTTGCTCAACATTCTCATTGACCAAACTGAAAGGGAAACCTTGCTCTTCAGTATTAACCCTCATTTAAAATTGCTGGTTGTTTCAGAAGGCAGGAGCTGGAAAAACAAGGATGGTTTGATTGCCAGCACCACCAGATCCTTTCACTTACCGCCCAAATAATAGGTGTCCCCTGAATCAATCTGCCCTCGCAGGGAGTGAACCACAGAGGCTGCCTCACCATCCACCATCACACTCAGGTGATTTCCTTTCAACGAAAGGGACACTGAATGCCACTGCCCATCACTTAATCCAGCACCTGGAAGTAAACAAAATTGGGTAAGAAATTCCTAAAAACCCTATAGATGCAGCTACACAGAGCCATGCTTGAAAACAATGCAATCATGATCTTAGACACCCTACCAAACTTCACCATGAACTCACCTGCAACCCACCAGGTTATGCAATGGAGACCCACCACAGAGGACAGCTGGGCCTCTCAGAGAGAAAGGGAGAGGCTTGGGACAGGTGTGAGCTTGGGGGTTTCTTAACAGGCAATAAGATCACATGGTATCCTGGTCATGTTTCTCTAGGAGGAAGGGGTTACCTGTGGAGTGAGGCTCATTGAGTAAATGTGTGATTCCAGAGGGTCCTTGCATCTGACCTCCCACAGTCATAGACTGGCCAGTCGTGTTCTAACACAAATTATATTCTAGCAAAAATTACTATGATCAGTTAAGAGTATTAAGACATATGTGCACATGGCAATGACTGTGTTTCACTTTCTCATCACTCGGTTAAATCAGAAAAGTACAGGGAGAAAAAAAGAGAAAATAAAGAAAGCTGAATTGAAGGGGGAAAGAAGATTCAAGAGTGGACAGTCCAAACATTCTGCCTTGGACAGTGCAATCTTAGTTTCTCCCAGTGCTAGGGCTTTAATGGACTAATACAACAGGATCCTGAACAACCTTAACATGATCAAATATCCTAGTCCCCTGGCACAGGACGCGCTTCCCCCTCTTCTAGTTTGTTAATATTTTAGGATGTTGAGAAGCATAAGATTTTCCAAAATTGTTGTTATAAAAATAAAATCTTGTCCCTATTTTCATGTATTATTACTATATATAATTTTGGTAGACTATTTAGAAAAATATATCGTATATATCAATATAACTCTTTAGAAAAAATGTATCAGCAACTTAAGTATTACTAAAACATGTAAATTCATAGAACAAAATGTAAAGTTTAGAAAGCATCGCATTAAAGTGTGTGTGTGTGCATACTCAATCACTGTCTAAAATTGGACAAAAACCAGTAGGAAATATTTTTAAACGTTAACATTAACTTTGGATGAGGGAATTGTTTGCCTTCATGCCCATATTCCACTGGCCAAAGCGAGTCATTCGTTCAAAAGCAAGGGACTCCTCCCCTCCACGGAGAGGTCACGGCCACTGTCACGGCCCCAGAGACAACTGCTGCTCTGAAGGAGCACAGTGAATAATTGGAATCTTTAGAAATTGTCTTGCCCAACAGGGAAACAGGTCATAAACAAACACTTCAGCTCATTGAAAAACAACAAAGTGAGACTCTTTTGATTTCTTTGATGTCGTGCCCAAGCTCACGCATGAGCCTGCCTGACTCTAATTTGATCGTCTTGGGGAATTGTCCTGATAGATTAGCCTATACCTCTTGCAAATGAGAAAGGTGCCGACTGCTTAGAGCCCTCGAAGTTTGGAACTCAACCTGCAAGGGTCAGAAGTTATTTTCTAGCTCATGAGGTATCAGCCCCAAAGAAAATATGGCCATGTTTCCAGTGGAAAGTTAACCAGGCATATTTAATTTGGTATCAGAGTTTGGCCCAAGGAACCCAATCAACCCCATAAATCCATGTCCCTCCAGTGCTCTTTAATATGTCAACGATACTGCGATTAAAAATGAAAATACAGCTTTTTTGGTCTTGGCTTCATTTCTCATCAGTGACGTTGACATGGATTCAAGACCCTGTGCACAGGAAATATGTTTCTGGCCTGACCCAGAAGGTCATAGACCCTACTGTAAAAATCGCGATGCCTCCGCTCCTCTCAGACTGTGAAACAGGAGCGATGGTACTTCCCAGCACTCCCTTTCAGGGACTTTAGCTCTTTGCCATGTACACCCATCTCTCACTTTCTGTGTCACATTTGTGAATCCAAAACTGTTGCAAAGACCCCACATGGGTTAGGTTCATGAGCAATGATGAGAAAGCTGACAACAGAATATGGACGATTGCAGTTAGATACTCAAGACCTACATTATGACACTGGTCCTGAAGGAAATCCTCCAGCCCTGGAGCTGAAGGAATCCACAAACAAGAACGTGGGAGTGTCCCTTCCACTCTTGTCATTCGGTATTTATTTTGAAGTTTTCCTAACATTATCTGTCGGGACGGAACCACATCCACTTAATGGGGCGCCTGGGTGCCTCAGTGGGTTGGTTAAGCCTCTGCCTTCAGCCCAGGTCATGATCTCAGGGTCCTGTGATCGAGCCCCACATTGGGCTCTCTGCTTAGCAGGGAGACTGCTTCCCCCTCTTTCTCTCTGCCTCCCTCTCTGCCTACTTGTGATCTCTGTCTGTCAAATAAATAAATAAAATCTTTAAAAAAATAAAATAATATCTGATGTTAAAATTCCCTCCTGTCCCCACCCACCCACCCACCTGTCTAGGACTTAGAGTTATTTCCTGGGAGAACTTGCAGAAAACACTCCAGAATATCTCCTTGAATGGGTAATAGATGCCATTTACCTGTATAATAAAAGACTGTTTTTAATAAAATTCAACATTCTCATTTAAAAGTGAAATGCCTGCTCTTATGATCATTCTGTTTCTCCCCATTATAATTCTCACTCTTTGTGTTTCTTTTGTGTGTCCTCTACCCTCCCCACTTTCGACAGAATGAACTGCCTGCCTCCCAGGCAGCACTACAGTCAAAGGATGGATGGAGAAGGGAGGGGCGGGGGTGTTTTGATTTGTGCTACTGGGAACACGATGCTCATTCTCCCACTCACCCCCCAGCTCCACAAAGGCTTCAGTCTGGGGGGCCAGTGATGGTCTCGGGACTAGTTTTGGAATAATGAGAACTAAAGGTTTTGGAGTGACTGCTGACTAGCAGGCACTGGGCTCGTGGTCTGTAGGCTCAACATCATTGCTTCTACCATCAGTCACACTAGTGTCACTCCAACAACGAGGACCCGAGGCTTGGGGAGAACACAGGTGGCGCTTTCGAGCCCATCAGCCCTAGCAGCACAGAGGTGGTTCTGGAAGTGGGCCTGGGAGGCGAGTCCTCTCACACAGCCCTCCCACCAGCTTGTCTCAAATCCATCCTGATTGCAGAGAACACTGCCCCGGGCAGTTGAGGCTCTTCCGGAAAGGGTGGACTGTGTCTTTTCCTACAGAAAAGGAACGCACGCTCTCCTCCCCCGCACTGACCTTCTGTTCCCACCACGCTCCGCTGGCCCAGCTCCACAAGCACACGGACAGTAGATTGTACACTCTGGACCTTTCTAGATCCCTTCACAAACACACTGAGGTAACTATTCAGAAATAGGACCCAAAAGCTGGAAGCAGGGTGGACGGTGACCGGGTGTCCTTTCCTGGCATCCGGCGTGATTACGTCTCACTCAGCCTTTAAACTTTGGTTCGTGGTTTGGTAGGTGCTTTCGCACTTCATCCAAGGTTTGGAATGAAAACCAGTCGCCATCTGTCTCCTCTTCCTCACTTTCTGTGCCTCGCAGACACCGCGCCTTTCTCCAGCTGAAGCCTCGTGGCCCGCTGCCCAAAGGGCGTCTCTCGGGGACATTTTTCCAACAGCATCTGCTCATTCTGTGCCTCTGTGTCACGATCCTTCAGACTTTTTCGTCACTGTGACATTTGTGATGCTGATCTGTGATCCGTGATTATAACTCGCTGAAGGCTCACGCGGCACCTTTTCTTAGCAATAAAGTATTTTTTTAATTAAGGCGTGTATATTGTTTTTCCAGACATAAAGTTCCTGCACATTTAACAGACCATGGTATACTGCAGACATAACTTTTATATGCATGGGAAAGCCAAAAAAAATTCATTTGGTTCACTTAATTGCAATATTTGTTGTATTTGGGTGGTCTGGAACCAGACCTGAGTATCTTGGAGGCAGGCCTGTATTTCAAAGGTAAAAAAAAAAAAAAAAACCACCCCTCAAATGCTTCTAAAAAAAGCAGCAAGAAAAATGTACCTCTGGTTTGCTTCCAAAAACTAATACATTGTCCAGTGAAAGCTTAAAAAATCAATTCAATAAAATGTTTCTATAATATTTCAGTGCCAGCCTTCAAAAAAAGTTAAATAACTAATCCCAGTGTGTTGGAAGGGAGAACGGTGTGTACTCACGTGAAGCAACAGCAAAACACCATCTCTCCGTTAATAAGGCACGAAGCTTGTAAATCTACACAAACCAGGAGTGAGGCGATTGCCAAAATCTGACTTGACACTCGCTGGTTGTGCTCATCTGCTGAGATCCACAAGGGAACTCCGTACGCCGGTGGTCAGATTTTGTCTTTTATTTATAAAGAGAAACAAAGAGCTACGTTTCATTCCCGGCTTTCAATCCGACCTGGTAACCTGGGTCAGGCGAGGCGCTCCTTCCGTAGTCAACACTCGTGGAAGGACACCCACCTGGCTTTACACTTTCACCAGCACTCTAACGCAAAACAGTCCCCAGACTCTGAGGATAACACAACCCTGGAAGGGAGTTTAGAAACGTGGGTCCTTCCTGGAAGCCAAGCAGAACATTTGCCCACTGTTATAAGAAGCCTTATCCAAAACAGGGATTCCCGATGGAACAGAAAATCTGGGAAAAATAGTAACTTCAGATATTATGATTGGTGTGCATATAGGCTCAAAAGACGGGATAAGGAACCTCTTTTGTCAGGACTCCGACTTAGGCTACTGTTCTCCAGTGTTTCAAGTGGACTGCCAACTCCCCACTATCAGTTGATAACTAGGTTATTCTTTAAACTTTTTAAAAAATATTTTATTTATTTATTTGACAAAGAGACATCACAAGTAGGCAGAGAGGCAAGCAGAGAGAGGGGAAGGGAAGCAGGCTCCCCGCTGAGCAGAGAGCCCGATGTGGGGCTCGATCCCAGGCCCCTGAGATCATGACCTGAGCCAAAAGCAGAGGCTTTAACCCACTGAGCCACCCAGGCGCCCTATTTTTTAAACTTTTTGAGAGGTATGTGTGATCTGCAGCTAACTTCAGGTCAAACTGACTCACACAACAACAGCCTGGATGTACCTAGTTCAAAGGTAAAAGAACTCTAGCTCCCTCTAGAAGGATTACGAGTATCTTACTGATTCAGTCACTCGTTTAATGCAGGGGTGACAGGAGGACCGTGTGGTCACAGCAAACACCTATTACCTGCTGTGACGTCCCTCGCTGGATGTCCGGGCTGGGAAAGACTCAGCCTGAGTTTTCCATCATTAAGAAGGAGGACGAGAGCCGCTGGCCCGTGTTGGAACTGAGTGGTCAGCAGCAGCCCTGCCCTGTTCCACGTTCGGAATTGGAAAGCGACCGACACCTTGTCCTCTCCGACAGTGCCCGGCAGAGCCAAGTAACTCCTGGAGCTCAGAAAAGTCACGGGCACAATTTGTGGGTGTGAGCACGAGAAGGACACATTTCCCTGTGAATACAGTGGAAAAGGATTTAGGAAGGGGCAGAAGGGATGCTTTCATGAACAATGAGCTTTCCAAGAGGTGCAGTTTCCTATCAACCTACCAGCAAGCGAGGACCTAAGAACTAGGCTTCCCCAACCAGCTGCAATCCAGATTTACCTGACAGGTCCCTCAAACTGTGACACTGCCCTGGCTGGGCAAACCTCCTTCTGAGGCTTTTAGGGCAGTTCTGTCTCCTCCATTTCTGGCCATTGGCAAAGGAATCTCGAGACACGTCTTTCCCAGGCCTTGTGCTGGGCGCAGGACACAACAGAGGAGACAGATTTCTTATACCTCAAGGCACTGGCTGTTTACATGCGGCATGAAGCCCAGGACCACGGAGAGTGGCTCCGGGAACTTTCCAGCACTCCCCTTGGTTGTGTGAACGCTTACACACCCGTCACCCGGGGACACGAACATCTGGCTCAGGCGGGCCCTGGGCTTCAGCCATCTGAGGCAGGGGTGTGGCCGGCCTGAGCGGGCTGCCCACCTCTCAGAGGCTCCCATAGGCCATGTCAACCAGACGCTTTCCCCAGCCTGACCTCTGACCCGCCAGCTGCCTGTTGCCTTTACTTCATTCTATTTTAGTAAAAAACAAACCTTTGAGCTTTACATTATATCTACTGCTCCAGGAGCAAACTTACCTTTAATCATAGTGTTTTGGAGGAAGGAACTTAAGTTCTTAAAAGAACTCTAATTAAGTGGGGCGCCTGGGGGGCTCAGTGGGTTAAGCCTCTGCCTTCACCTCAAGTCATGATCTCGGGGTCCTGGGATCGAGGACTGGGCAGGGAGTCTGCTTCTCCCTCTCCCTCTGTCTCTCCCGCTGCATGTGCTCTCTCTCTCAAGTAAATAAATTCTTTAAAAAAAATTTAGATAAATTTTCATAAATTCCAGAGGAATATGTGCCCAAACACTGTCCTTCCTCTCCAAAATACATACCATAAAAGCACTGTAATCAAGTCAATATGGCATTGGTATGGGGTAAACACAGCATCGGAGCCCAGTGACTGACCCACAGAAAGATCTGAGACCACAGGTACAGACCGCACGTGGTGAGAGGGAAGACTCAAGCCTGTGCTCGGAGGTTGGGTCTGGTCAGTAAACAGCTCAGGCATGAATGGGTACCCTCGAGACCCAAGATAACTATGATCTGCACAAAGAGTAAAGACCAGACAGTCGAAGACTTAATTTTTTTTTCAATTTTAAAGGAAATAAATAAATGAAACCGCCTTAAAACTTTTTATAGGAAAATCCTTGAGACTGTACCTAGAGTCTAGGGTTTCAGAAGTATTTCAAAGCAAGACCAAATACTACAAAGCTATTTAAAAAATATATTGAGACATTGGCTACGTACCAATAAAGGCATTTATATGCTCAGCATGGCCCATAACATTTAATATAAAAGATATGATATATGATATATAATTATATTATAACATGACTTATATTTCATAGAAAGTTGGTTAATCTGAGAAAACATTTGGATCATGAATGACATAGAGTGATCTATCAAACCTAAAACTCTCTTATAAATTGGGGCACCTGGGTGGCTCAGTCGGCTGAGTGACCGTCGGTCATGGCTCAGGTCATGGTCTCGGGGTCCTGGGATTGAGTCCCATGTGGGGCTCTGGGCTCAGTGGGGGTCTGCTTGAGAGGTCCTCTCTCTTTCTCTCCCTCATGCTCTCTCTCTAAATAAACATTAAAAAAAAAAAGCATTCCCACAGGTTTCGCTGAGTTGGAAAATGGAGATGGAGAAAAGCTTACATAAAACAATCCCATTTCTGTAAATGATGCTCGATATGGAGGCGTCAATGTTCACAAAGCTGGGTGCACTGATTGTAGAGGATTCAGGTCCAAGGAACCCAACGTGGAAGGACAGACGCTAGCTCAGTAACACGCTGGCCCGGGGGGACAGCCTGCAGCCGGGTGGAGGGACGGAAGCCTGACAACAGTCCAACCCGTCTGAGAGGTCCACCTGCCTCGAGATAACATGCTTCCTATTCGCTGACCTAAGTCCCCAGATCCACAGCAGACAGACCCCTGGCCTTGGGGTGAGAAGGTCCCAAACGTGCCCAGTCGCCTGTTCGAAGCCACATCTGCCTTCTGAAGAGTCAAGCAAGTTTTCTGGCAAATCTTTTTCTTTTTTAGGTCACAAGACTGATTTTACTAACCTCCATTTGTGTATCTGTGGGCCTTGGCCTCCCTTTGCAGAACAATGGGCGTTCCTGCACATCAGCAAACAGGCACCAGACCCCTGGGGCACAGACCCTGAGCACAGAGATAGGGCTTGTGGCCAGCACCACGGAGTCTGCCCGGGATGGAGAGATGCAGCAGTCCACCCCCTCCCTTCATTGACCCACTCCTAACCCCTCTGCAAATCTCTGGGCCGGGCAGAAACCCAGCAGCTGGCTTTTGCACAAGAGTCCACCTTCTCCCCAAATTAAGTTAAGCTCAAATTCCTTTCCAATCTAAATTCATCTCTCCAGTACTGGCCTTTCAAGCGAGCGATAGGCAGCTGAGCTAGGAGTTCAGTAACGAGAGAAAGGAGCAAGAGGAAATCAATCCCAACAGAGACCCTGTCCCGAAAGGTCTTTATTCAGAGGCGCCATGACGCATTTGCGAAAGCGTGCGTCTGTTTCCACACACCTGTAAAAGTTAAGAAGCCCGTGATGGGGAGGGAGGAGGGCACTTGTGAGGAGCCCGGGTGGCGCAGGCAAGTGCTGAATCCCTGAACGGCACACCGGAAGCTCATACTACACTGTGTTTGAGTGACTGGCACTAAAATTTTAAAAAGTTAAATTAAAAAATCAAGTTAATTATTTAGTGAATTAAGTCAAATACGAACTAAAAGGCATATGTGATTGGCACTTTCCCTGCCTTCAGGAGAGGCACATTCTAGACTGGGCCCATCGGACAAGCTGCAGCTCCCTGCTCCGTTGACCCCGCGTGTAGCTCTCTTACCGTGACGAGGATCTGTGGTGTGTGTTTCTTGGACAAATCAATGATATCCACTCCATTATAGTAGAGATTTTCGAAGCAGCCATGAAAGTCTTTATGTGGGAATGCCACTGATTTTCCATGTCCAGGAATCCCCCCAAAGCTGATCTTAGAAAGAAAAAAATGACATAAATAATATTGTTTAATGATTTTCTGATTGTCTGCCTAAAACACATATGCTCAGCCGGTATAGGATAATTGCCTCCAATCTATCTGGCATTATTTTAACATTAACATGTTAATTTCAGGTGAATTTTTAGACGTACCGGTTAAATGTGCCGGTTCTTTCTTTATTACACTTAGATAAGTAGGTTAAATACCCCTTCTCGCAATTTGCTACTCAAAGGGCTATGTCACTTCAGCTGACAGGGAACGTTGTACGTTCATTTCCACGGTCACTCTTGATCTGGGTGACAAGGCGGCTGACCATGATGACATTCTACTTTACAAACCTTCCCAGAACCCAGCTTCAGGGTCCGGGTCTTGGCCAGGACACTGCGGATGGGTCAGAATAATGAAGGCATCGATAATCTCATTCAGGACCAGGCTCTGCAGCTGGCCTCCTCAGCTGAGGCCACTTACACTAAACGAATGTTGCAATCATCCCCTTTGCTCGGATAGACGTGCTGAGCAGAACTGGCAGAACAAAAGTGCTCTCCAGTGCTGGGTAGATACGTGCGGGCAACACGCCGGGGATGCGTTAAGCCTTTAAATGTCCCTAGAAACGGTATTTTGAATCGCCTGACTCTGGCTCTCTCGTTCCTCGAAAAAGCAGGTTGGAATGTATGGTGATTACTTCTCCAAGCACCCTAGATTGCTAATTCCGTTTACGATTGCCCTAAAACACAGAGATCTCCAAAGGAATGGGTCACGGCCAACACCAGAGATAACATGGGAAGCCGTCCAGACACGTGTACTTTACTGTGCCGCCTGTCCTACTGATACCTCTTCATCCACACACCTTCCGAATTCAACGACTACTTCCTCCCAGGGGAGAATTCACACCTACGAGTGATACAACATCTCAACAATGCACGTGGGTCTCTATCTGGGCCGACATCACCCGTGGGAAACATTTCGCCAGAATTCCAAATTGCTAGCAATGGGAATTTCTCTGTGTAGCGGTATTTTCTTAAAAGGTTATGTTGCGTTTAAATAACAAAATCTGTAATACTTGAAAAGAAATGTTCACACCTTATAATCAAGATCCAAGTAGTCGCACTCGCCCTCGGCCTGGAAATGCTGACTGTGCCTGTCCACAGTGAAGTGGACATGCGTGTTCCCAAGCTCGATGAGGACAGAATGCCAGTGCTCGTCGTCCAGCAGGCTGCCCAGGGTGAGGGTCACATGGGCGTCAGGGGAGGGCAGGTTAGCATGGCCTACAAGGACAGGCGAAGCAAATGAACCGCCCCATCCAACCCGGTACCATGGCTGCCCTGTGGGAGGCCAACTCTTCCCCCAATCACTTTCCTTGCACACTTCTATCCGGAGAGCTGGTCAACTGCCTCTACTTCAGCCTCATGTACAACCTTCTCTCATTTGGGAATGATTTCTTCTACCTTTCTTGTGTTTATTATTATTAATTATTGCATTTTTGCTTTTCTCGGAAGTATCTTCTTCCAAGAACCTCACGAAGAGCACCACCTCACGGTTTCAGGGATCCACCCCTTGTCTTTACAATATTACCAGGCTGTCTACTGAACATGTGCAAATGGTCTTACACACTAATCGAGCTTTAAAACTTGTTACAGTAAAGTACATTCGGGATACATGCGTGTTCTCTGTAGTACACCTCAACATGGAGCGACCACGCTTCCATTTGCCTAGACCGTTCTGGGTCACACTTCTTGCTCCAGAGTAATTATTTCTAGGGTCTTCTTTCTTTCTCGAAAGTGTTCTGGTTTCAGGATAAATTAGCTACTTAACTGTGAAAAACTAAGCATGAAAAGATACTTCCATCTAAAGAGGCATATTTTTGAAAACACCCACTGGGAACTTTTTACCTGAATTAAGCGATAAGATGAGCTTTCCTCTAACTAACTTCAGGGTGACGTGTTTGCCGTTTTGTCCTTCTCGGTGGAGTAGAATCCCGTCAGTCCGCCTGGTTTTAAATTTCAAAGAAATAACATCTTTTGCTGGACTCACAGATTTCTGATTAAACGTGTATAGCAAAGAGCTTTTCCCATCAAAGTTAACCATCTCGGATCCTACAGCAGGAGACATTAGAAAATAATCAAAGTATAATACATCTTTACTCATGCACTGAAACGAGCAAGTTGACACAAACACACGCACACATAACATATCTCTGGTCTGTTTAGTGCAGAGGGGAAAAAACGGTGCTGCCCATCCTCCCCGATAGCCATAGCTGGATCCCTAACCTCCACTCTTTGCCTTTTCTGACATTTTCCCTAACATGTATCAGCTAGAAATACTTCTGTTGACTAAGCCCAATTGCTTCTGCCTTTGTACTGGCCACTCCTCATCCTATAAACAACGAAGATCGGTAAAACAGTTGAAGTCACTCCCCAAAGTGGCACATCGTGGCTATGAAGCTGCCATTGTCCCTCAGTTGTCCAATAGTCTTATTTTTCCCACTATCAAGGTCACTTGCATTCTCTTTATTGAAAAAGTTATATTTTATCATTAACGTATAAAGAACACTGGTCAAAGAAACCAAAGACAGAACAGGAGATGCACAAAGGGATTCATACTAACTACCCAGAAGAATCTCTCGTATTTCTCATATTTCACAAGTAAAAAGACAAGACGTTACTGTCCTTAAAAAGTCAAAAACCGTATGATTTTACTCACACGTGGAATCCAAAAACAAAACAAAAAAATGAATAAACAAACAGAAAGCAGAACCAGACCTATAAATGCAGAGAATAAACTGGTGGCTATCAAAGGGACGGGATGGGGGATGGATAAAGTGGGTGATGGGGAGTGGCAGGTTCGGGCTTCCGGTCATGGAGTGAGTGATTAAGTCACAGTGTGAAAGGTACGGCCAGGAAAATAGTCAACGATATTCTAATCAAGTTGTATGGCGACATGTGGCAGCTATGCTGGTGGTAAACATCGCACAACCCGTAAAATCGTCAAATCACTATGTTGTACACCTGACACTAATGTAACATTGTGTGTACGCTGCACTCAAATTTTTGAAAAAAAGGTTTTTTCAAATGTGTGTGTGCAATAAATGAAGGTGCAAGAGGAAGCCAAAGAAACAGGAAGCTGATGTCTTCTGAGCCGGTGATACAACGTTGGGTTTATTTAACTTCACAAAAGCCTGGGGCCAATGTACATTAGGACCTGCATTTCATTCAGACGAACTAAAACATTTACAGCAAACCCTTTACGTTCACAACTCTAAGGAATCCTTTATTTCATGCAGCCACCTTTTGAAAATTCAGGAGTTTGATTCCGGTTCCCATACATGGTGGAAAATATATAAACACAGCAGTGTGTCTAAAAATCATGGAAAAAAGTAATTATTCTCCGTTGCATAGTTAAATGAACATCTGATAAAAACATATCCCTTTGTCAAATTCGAATGAATTGTCCTGGCGTTTTGGGTGAGCACAGATCTGGCCCCATCCCAGAACTGCGACTCTGCTGGCCTGGGGTGGGACCTGAGAGTCTGCTTTTCTGACGTGTCCCCTAGTGGTATTGACGATGTCGATGCTGCTGGTCTGGTGACTACATATGAGAACCACTGCTCTACAGAACCTAGATTATATTTCCAGGAACATTCCCCTCAGGCAAAATGGAGTAGTGAAAAATTTATTGGATTTATAGAAACACAAAAGAATGGGCTGAAAATCCTTTTGTTGTAATGTTTTCATTTCCTCTCCAGTGAGCTCCCTAACACTCGTACCTAGAACAATCAACCACAAGCTAATCATCACATTCTATCTTATGAGGCACATTTAACATGTGTTTTGACAGGTTCCCTAAGCCTAGAAGGGGACTGAGTTATAATCTAGAGAGGTCATCAATGGAGTAAAACAGAACCACTTCAAACAACATATCTTGTTGTATAGTCCTGGTGGTTTCACTAAAATCTTAAACAGTAACAAAGTTAAGGTCAGTGGAGAGGAGTTAAAACAGCACAGATAAAAATGAGGAATTGCTCTCAGAAGTCTGGAATGTGAGGCTGCTTTCTCTTCATCTGAAATGACCCACATCACTCTGCAGCCTGTACGGCCCCATGAGCTAATTTTTAAACGTTCGTTAAAAAACAAAAAAATAAAGAATTGTGGCAGAGAGCACAGGTTCCCACAGACCTAAAATGTGTGCTGTCTGGCCCTTTACAGACACCTGTCAACGCACACTCAGTGCCATTAGCCAGTGATCCTTTCTGAGCCAGATTCCTGACTGCTTACATGTGGCCATGATAAGAACCAGCTCACCGCAAGACATGTGGTGATCCTTCTTCGATTTAAATATTAAAAACCCTATTTTAGATGGGAAATCACAAATTTAATTATTTTTGTTGATCTACCTGTTGATCTACCTGTTGCATAATTCAATACACTTTGTTTGTGGCTTTTCATGAATCTATATTTATGAGGTCAAAAAATAGGTAAATATTCTGGCTCCTGTGGAATATCAGAGAAGACTGGTTTTATATGGACCATCTTCTGTAGCTTCAGACCCTGCCTTGGCAGGGATTTGGCTTTGGAAAATACAGTTTTGTTACTAAGAGACCATTTTCCCCCATATTCCCTTCCTTCCCAACCCCCACACTGCCCTGACTTAATTTCCATTTGTTCCCTCAAGTACACTCTATTTTCATTTAACATGGGTGTAGCACCCACTAGGTGCTGGGATGAAACCCAAGAGGACAGATATGGCTTGGCCTTCCAGAGCTGACAGTGCTCCCCTCACCTTCTCACTTCAGCTATCATGAAAAGAACACATTTCACCAGGAATAGCCTAGTCTTACTGCGGGCTGCTTAGGAAACTGGAGACAAGGAAGCTCACAGTCAGGAAGGAGGAAGTGGAGCATGGGGGAGGTCTTCTCTGGGGAAGTGTCGGGAAAGAAAGAAGGTAAGACCTTACCAATCATATGGCATGTGTCACACTCAGTTTGCAGATAGGCACCCAAAAGCAGCCAACACGGTTCAAACAACGGGCCATACTGTTGATCAAGAAGCCCCTCATGACAAACGTGAAACCCACGTGATAAGTAAGAGTGCGCCTGTCACAAGGACGACTTACAACGGGAATTGTGGACTGGAAACTCAGTTTCAGGCCTCGTCAAAGAGAATCAATTCTACAGAATGTTGTTCACTTACAAACGCTCACGAATCAGTCTGAATATGTGAAAACAAATGACACGTCACTAAACATAACATGACATTTTTAAACATGTGTCACTCATATACCATTTTTAAAGGCAACAGATTTTTTTTCAAAGATTTTATTTATTTGACAGACAGAGATCACAAGCAGGCAGAGAGGCAAAGAGAGAGAAGGGGAAGCAGGCTCCCCGCTGAGCAGAGAGCCCGATGTGGGGCTCGATCCCAGGACCCCGGGATCATGACCTGAGCCGAAGGCAGAGGCTTAACCCACGGAGCCACCCTGGTGCCCCAAGGCAATAGATTTTTTAAAAAATTAAACCAAAACATCGTATTGTGGGACAGAGAAGACTTAGCTTAGCGAGTTTGCAGCAGCTAGCTCTCCAAGCACGGATGGGGAACAGCCCATCTGTAGAAGTAGAAGTTCCCCTCACCTTCATGCCCATGTTGGTGATAGCCATCAAAATATAGCCCCAGTTAATAAAACTATTAATTATAAATTAAAATCAAATAAATTGGAAAAACACTTTGCATTTTCAATGAAGTATCATATCACATTTTCCATTTTGGAACATAGGTTCTGCACTCTTGCAATGGACAAAACTATTGGTTCTCATTCTTATTCATAATAAGTGATCTCCATCTCAAGTACCCCAATAATTTAATTAGCTGAATTACATACAAACACATTTTTCATGAGCCTTCTTGTGAAAGTTAAGTGTGATGCTAAGGGGTAATTTAATGCATTATTTTGGAGTTTTTATTCAAATAAAAATATGTTAGAGTTGGTTATTTGTATTAATTATGGACATTTAAATTTGTATGCTATATTATATATGTATTTATATTACATATATATTTTTATTTATAAAAATATATAAATATCAAGGATGTTTTGAGGTTGCTAAACAAAACCTATAAATTTCTGCTGTAACGGTCAGTACATTTTTAAAATAAACACAATATTTTAATTTTTTTTAACTAGGCTCCAAGCCCAGCATGGAGTCCAAAGTGAAACTTGAACTCATGACCCTGAGATAGAGACCTGAGCTGAGATCAAGAGTCAGATGCTTAAATGACTAAGCCCCCCAGGTGCCCCAGATAAATACAATGTTTTAAAATGGCCAATTACATGTTTTACTCCCAGTTTTATTTTCATGCCTGACTTAACACAGGACCAGAGTGTTGCAGGGATGACTGGTAGGTCCCCATGGTGTTGGCCATTCTGTGCCTACATAGTCCGTATTCCCAAGGACTCATGCACTCCTTTCCTCCCTCTTCTCCCCTTCTGATCTCCCCTCCTTCTCTCTCTCTTCCCTTATTCAGACAAACAACATGCTAATGAACACAAGACGACACTACACCACCACAGGATGGGACTAGTAAAAGCTTAGGGCAATGCTTGAGAAGACACAGACCATGAACACAGGAGTCAAAGTGGAAAAGAAGGAGCAGAAGATGCCCCAGGGAAGAATAACAGTCAAGAAAGAAATGAGGGAGGACCTGGGGCCAGTGTCGGTGTCTGTGGTTTACAGAGACCTACGTCGAGGATGTCAACGTGAAACTGATCAGAGTGTGTAAATGTTACTGAAAATTTAAGAAAGCGGAGGACACTCAAACGGAAACCTTTTCAGAGTGGGATACAAAGCCTAGAACAAGTCCGTGGGGAATATGGCCCTGGACACCCCCCTTCTGCGGGGCTGCTGGTGGGCATGGGACTCTAAGAAGACCTCACACACACTCCACGTGCAGTCTAGGAGTTGGTGGAAGGGAGGGATTTCCAGGTAGAGAACGTGTGTGTGCCACCCCAGGAAGCCATGAAGAATGCCTGGTGTTTTTAGGAACAGCAAATATCATTGTAATTGGAGTTTAAAGAAGTAAAACCAGAGAGAGAAGCTGCATCTAAGAGACATTATATGCCAAGATAAGCAATCTGGACATTTTCTCAATATCAACAGAGCAGTGAGACTTGAAATGGGGGGGTACAATAATTAGCACTTTGGGCTATAAATCATATCATATACAATTACTGTCAAAAAGGAAAGTGCAAAGCTCTACGCTTGAACAATTGCTCTTATTAATAGTAAGAATAAAGACAAGACAGAAGCTCCACTAGTAAGCCACAGACGCCGCACAGTTTTGCGAGTTGCCGTGACTGTTATCGGTCCACAGTTTTAGGCTAGGAGCCCCCCCTGGTGCACAGCTGGTGTTTGCTGACTTAGGGTGCACGCAGGTCCTTCCCAGGACCAGGCCCGCAGCTTTGATCTCTCTGGGACTGACGTCTACCCCAAGGAGGTGGTACCGCCTCACGAAGAACATCAGGCTAACGACAAATCGCCATCAAAGACCTTGCTCTGCTTTGAAGTCAGTAAACCCAGAGTCATGGGAGGAAGGGAAAGCTGATTTTATGGGATCAAAGAGAAACCGGAGTATCGGGTGTCCCAGCCGCTTGCCACAGTGAGCACGTTCATGGAGCTCAGACACAAAAGGAGGGAAGGCGATGGCCCGTGGAAAGAGGGGGGAAAGGGCGGGCAGCATCGCAAAACCATCTCCGCTGAATGTTGCGTGGAAGGGCCAACACAGAGGCAGGGTTTGGAAATGGAGTGAAAGCAGAGCCTGTCTGAGCTCAGGAAGATGGTGGAGCTGAGGCCGAAGGGGACCCTTAAATCTAGGATGAGATCACTCCTGGGACGGTGAGCCCCACCTCCAGAAGGTCTCCCTGCCTGTGGGATCAGCAAAGGTGCGATGGTATCCTTGCTTTGCAGCGGCTCCCTCTGCCCAACAGCGCCCACACTCTCCCAGACCCCAAGACCACAGAAGCCCAGAGTCCCACAGCCACTGTGTGCACACTCCTGCATTCCTCCCTCCAGAAGCACCCCCCTTCCCCAGCTCACTCCACAAGCCCTTCACTCAGAAAACTGACTGACCGCCCTCCTCCCTAGGCCCCAGGATCGTGTTCCAATATTTCACATTTGTTTTGTACAATTTTATGACTTCTCATAAAATCCTGATGAAGAAAACCAATCATTTTAGAAGGGCCCCCTACATCCAGTCCCTAACACAGTTCTTTGCAAATAGTAAGTGTCCGATAAACTCTGACATGGCACGTGAGGGAACAAAGAAATGAAAGCCTGCATAATATAGTAGTTATGAGAACCAAATTTGGGGGTTTTTAAATCATAGGTCCAGTATGGAATAGCTCTTGCAAACATCTCCATGTCTCCACGGTCAAGTTCTTCTCCCTCGAGGCCATACCAGATCCGTCTGGCCGGTCTGGTTGTTGAATGAGAAAACGTCTGCTAAGTAGGATCTGACATATTAAACATTCCGCCTGTGACAGACCTCACTGACACTTTTCAGCAAAGCTAATGCTCTGCTCAGGTGCGAAATGAGGTGTGGCCAAAAACCCAGCCTCCCACGATGTTCTCAGCCAACAGACTCTTTGTGTTATTCTCCAGTTTTCTAGAAATTTTTCATTAATATTTTTTTCTTTTTGTGCTCATTAAAATAATTCCAGCATATTCCAAATCATCAAAATGGCAACGGTAGGATCGATTTCCCCACAGACGTCACTGAAGCATTTCTGCTTGTGTTCACGCTCACACTGGCTGTGACTTTTGTCCCTCTGCTCACCAGTGGGGAAAAGAGGGAAGACACAACACATAAGTGATGTTCACGTCAAGGAAAGTGGGGATTTGAGCAGCGAATATGGGAGAAGCCCAGAGTCATTTTGGGTTATGGGGAAAACAAGATCACCGGCTGTCCCCTGCGTCCCCACACCAAGGTCACCTCATTGCCCAAGAACGACACCATCCATCACAGTGAATTGCTGTGGTTGACTTGGACCTCGTTGTTTGGATGACTCACCCACTCTAAAACCTACCCTGCTCTGTCCTGGGAATCTCAGATTCTGAGGCTCAGTTCGGGCCCACCTCTACGTTCACTTAAAGTAACTAAAGACAGCAGTATCCAGGCTTTCCACAAAAACACAGAGATGCCTAAAAAGTCAGAAACAAGTCAAGCTCGGTTTTCAGCCTGGCCAAGAGAGTATGTCCCTCTGTCACTGATTTTGGGGCGGGGAGAGGGGTAAACAGCACTTACGGTACGTGCATCCGTACACTTCTATCCTCATCCCGATCCTGCCCTTGGGGCTCCAGCCTAAGGGGAGGAAGCGCAGGAACCTGGCTTCGAGGGGAGGCTGCAGTCGGTAATGCACCACGCTGTCCGCGTTTGTGTTTCCTGGAAAACCCTGGGGGAGAGAACGGAGAAAGGGTCAGTGTGTCTGCAGAACTCAGAGCTCCCAGCTCTTCTCCTGCGGCTTAGGGACAGAGGCTTCACTGTGTTCTTATGCAAAAGCCTGCCTGCTTCACAGAAAGTCTCTTAAGAGGGATGTGACCACCCTTCCTCAGGGCCTGGATTAGTCACCATTGTTCTAAGCTTTCCTCATTTGCAGGGTGATTTACATTTCAGCGGCACCATTAAGCCAGCTGGAAACCTGCTGCACTTGAAGGCTTGCCCTTCCCCTAAAGCGTTTCCCTCGTCCCTAAGCAGCAGAGACACGCTCCTGCAGCCCCACATCCAAGGCAATCAAGCGTGATGTTGCATCCCTTCCTTGCCATCCGTGCAGGAAGAACCCTCGACTTGGGTATGAGCGCTGGGAAGGACCTACACAGGGTTCTAGTTCCAAACCCTTCATTTATAAAGGCAAAACCGAAGTCGAAGAAAGTACAAAGAGTCTGCGGCGGTAGGACAGCGGCTACCAGGCATGGCCACGACTAGATTCTGGGCTTTGGATTTCAATCGCAGTGTTCTTAGTGTGCGGTCAGGCTGCCCCCAAGTTAGCCGCATTTCAGGAGCACTGGGGAGATCCACAAGACAGAGGGGTGCCCTTGCTCAGACACAGGCACCTGGCCTCAGGCTAGAGGGGGCCAGCGTGAGCACAATGGACGTTGTTACAGGGGACGTGTGACTCGTTTCTCACCGCGTTGATTTCATGTGAAGATCAGCATATGGGGAAACCCAAAAACGGGTGATGCTCGCATATACACACATTGATCATATCAATAATGATTTAATCTATTTTAGACAGCTATGTCACTAATGATTTAATCTATTTCAGACAGCTGTGTCACTAATGATTTGCTCGGTTTCTCAAAGGTAACACATACATGCGAGAGGAATGCGAGAACAGAGCACAGACTCCAACACCAGGAAGCGCGTCCCCACGCAGCCTCTCCGCCCTGACCCACAACCTCTCTTGAACGCTCCTGAAGTGCTCCGTACTTGTGTCTGGGGAGAAAAAGGTGGGTGGCCTTCCGATGACATGGACTTAGTTACCCCTGTGGCAAATCCGCTCCCCTCACCCCTACAGTCCTGCCTACCTTAGCATTAACTCTCGCACAGTGATCTTCCAGAAGCTGGAGTGTGAGTCACAGGATCCCGGCTCTCCTGTAGACAATTTGTGCCTGTGAAGTCGCCTGAGACACTGGGTTCCTCTGTCCTGCCACCTGGGCCCCAGAACCTCCGCTAGCCTCCTTCGCACAGGATTTCGACGGGCTCTTCCTGCTCTGGGCATTTCGGTGTCTGCCCCCAACACTGTACACCCCCTTTTAAAACTGATTCCATCGACTCTTCCTCAGATTGTCCATCAGTTTTCCCAGAGGACCTATGCAACAGCAAAGCCATAACAGCCTAAGGGTTTCCAATCCTTAACACAGCGTCTTAGCAGAAAATGCTGCCCCGTCCAAGGACCTTACTGTTCTACGCTCTAAAAACAAACATTGCCCCAGCTATGGTGCATCTCTTCTAAAAACCTATGTCAACTGGTACATCTACCTCAATGCTATCGTTCTTTGGAACCCCCTGTCAAAAGTTCAAGTTCTGCGTTCTTTGATCTCTCCAAGTTTTCTCATCCAGAGGGTCAAAGATATTCTCATAATACTCCTTCATATAATAGTAATAAAATGAGGGAGCAGAAGACTTGACCCTTTCTTATGCTCTCTTGCACCAGAAGGACACACTCCGCCTCCCACCACAGTTAAAAAGGTCAGACATCTTCACGCCGCACGGGAGCAAAGCTCGTAGTTGGGCCAAAAAGAATGCCCCATCTTGTCATTTTGCTTTGTGAAACCCTAGACCTGGCTTAACACCCAAACCCAACCAAACCAAGCCCAATCACTACTCGGGATTGTAAGCCATGACAAGCAGGCAGGAACAGACAGAACCAAGAATACAGAAAACTCAAATGTGGTATCAGGGCCAGTCTCAGACCCTATAACAATTCCTCTTGGCTAGTGAACGAAACATCATCTGGGAAGCCCTCCAGCCTCTCTCTCTTGCTCAGTGGAAGCACCATCTTTGTCCAACATCACCTGTTCCTCAAGGGTTGGCAACTGTTACACCAAGAGCAGGCAAACCCTCTCCATTGCCTCCATGCTCTGAATGGGAAGTCAGGAATGTGCCCTCCCTGCCCCCAGCTTCCTGCTGGAACTGCAGGCTGGCGTGGGTAGGAGCTGCTTTGTACCAACACCACCACTGTCCAGCACACGCTCTTGGCTGTTATTACAGGCTCCCAGACCCACTGCCTTCATCCACAAAACCAGCTTGGTCCAGCAAACTCTGAAGGTTGAGGAGCTATTACATGAGATAATACTTGACAATTATGTTCCCACACCTGCCTGGAGGTAGGTGGTCCACGAGCACCAGCCACTGTAGCCACGGCCTTGGCTGCCATTTTGGTTATGGCAGGCGCATCTGGCAGAGGCTGCTCATCTGTCCAACTCTGTATCCCATTCCTTACACTCTGTCTCAGGTTCAAGACCTGAGACGTGCAGATCACCGTCGGCTCCCACGTTGACTGTGATGCCACGGTTACAATTCAACCTCAGAACTGAAGTCCATGTTTATCTGAGGGTAACTGACAAAAACTAGGAAAGGTACTTGAAAAAATTGTTTTATTTTCCTTGGATATCATTACTTCCTTCTGAAGCACTTTGTCCATGGAAGGTAAATTCTGGACACCGTCATTCAGACTGTGTGATGACAACGCCATATAGCAAAAGGAATTTCTAATGCTGTTTTAATGGAATTTAGACAGAATACTATTTAAGGAATATTTCAAGTGTCAATAATGTCTTAATAGTCTATGAAAATAGGGGAATCAGAAGGCATTCTTTAAAACTTCTGGGAAATCTGTATATGAAACAATTGTCACACACGATTTTAATTACATTCAGATATTAGAACGTATGTATGTGTGCACAGCTCTGTGACCATGTTAATTCGTTCCAATTTTAAGGAACCACATTATTTTTGTCTTACATAGAACAATCAACAGTCCCTCTGAGTACAAATCAATCCTGTGTTTCTTTAAAGATACAGAAGTTAAATGAAGTGACTTTGGCACAAGACGGATCCCCACTAGCATGTCACTCTCACTTTCGTGGCTCATTACTGAAATGATCCCATATATTTTGGTGAAGCTGTGTTTATCTCTTAGGAGGTGGTGTGATCTGTTTCTTGCCATATGTACTTTTGCTTTCATGTTTCCAGAACAGATCTGTGTGAACAGGCCACACAAACTTGCAGAAACGAAGGCCCACTCTGTGTTCTAGTAAGTGGGAAGATGAAAACCCCAACTTCCCCATCTCTTGTGACAGGAGTGACCTCAGGGAAGCCAGCATTTTCGTGTGTAAATTAAGAACCAGAAAACCTCTCTTAACAATTTTGATGAGTTAGTGGGAGGAGTTCCATGGGCCTGTCTTCCTGGCATCCCTCTTGGCTCGCTAGCATTAAGAAACACACCGACGAGACTCTCCCCATGACTGATCACAGGGACACTTCATCTGGACACGGACTCAACATCTGGTCACTTAAGGCATCACATTGAATCCTTCATCCACTATTAGGAGCAGACGATGTCTGATGAAGTCTTCCGTTTCCACGTTAATTAGGTTGAAGGTAACCCGAGTCCACATCTTAGGCTCCACTCACATGCTAGAAACATGTTTCCGAGATAATTTGTTTTAGGAATCGGTGAATTTTCTGAAAAGCTGCCAGCTCTGCACTGATTTAGTTAGCAGTCACGTTAGTAGACTCCAAATCCAGAGAAGGGATCATTGGGAGACTCCCTCAGAGCCATGGTCTCGGATGTAAACCGAGTCATCACGACTCCGCATTGGGGTCAGCAAATGACCTTCAAGATGCCTATTATGTATTTGTCATTTCAGGTTTGAAATGTCTGTGTCCTGAGGTTGGCTTTTATACCAATGCCTTCTTTCCAAACACAAGCCGTGTTGCCTATAGAAACAGGTCTTGGTGATTTAAAAAAATGATAAATATTACACCTCATCTGCAGGCCTCTAGGAAACCCGAGCTTCATTATTCACTCACTGCTGTTCATTTTATTTTAAGACCTCTGAGGTAGGAGGAAGGATGTTGCTGGGATCAAGAGAGTGTGCAAGAATCCCCAAGCTCTAATTCCGGCCGTTTTAATTACGGGGCCATGTTGGTCTTGGACAAGATGCTTAAATCTCCCCACATCTCAGCTTCTTCATGAGCAATGGGGGAATAATAATAATTACTGTTACTATTAAAAATAATATTTTGTCCCCGTTATTTCCAGAGGCTCACGGACCATGAAAGGACGTACTAAAATTATTTCCTGTAGTTAGACCACATCAAAGTTGTAGTCAGTTGCTTTAAAGTAAGTGATCTTGTTATGAATTATTTTTAATATTTGAGTGAACTAGAAAGTACCGTAACATTTACACATAGATTAATCAAGGAAATCCTCCTCCTGTCGTTTTACTGAGTGAGCTGGACTGGGATGTCAGAAGTATGACCCAGAGGGAGGGCCTGACCCCTTAGGTGTCAGTCAGCCAGGCGCCTCGTGCGAGGTGAGCGCTAGAGTTTAACTCGTGCAGATGAGTTGACTTCAACAGTGTCCTGCAAAGTGAACGAATAATCTCCATTCTCACTTAAAACAACCAGACAGGCGCCTGATGCACATCTTCTGATGTGACAATCTCAGTGTGTCAGAAAAAATGTGCACTTAGTAAGCACTTCCTGGTTTCTTTCATGGACTCAGTGGAAGCAAGTCACACAGTCAAACCAGTGACTGAGCAAAAAGAGACGACCATGTCTCTGGGTCCCAGCACCTTCCCCTACCTGGAGAGGGCACCTGCCCCGTGACTGAGCACAGCTACACCTCCCAGAAACCCAGAGCACCTGGCCCTGGACTCATCCACA